CCCCCTTTAGCATGCTGTTCTTGCATGTCTGTCTGACCCAGTAGCTTTACCTGCAAGCCTATCAGCCTGCTCCGTTTGACTGGCTGTGCCAGTATGTAAACAATAGTATTATATTCTGCTATAATTTGCAGGACATCAGGAGCCTCTCTTGACAGTGGTAAAACGTTGCAACATGGTGAGACATGATTTGATTGCAAAGACTATACTTCAAGGAACATGAAAGGGGGGGGGGTGATTGTGGGGGGATTAGTTGAAGAAGAGGAGGGCAAAGAAGAACCTGGAACAAAATGACAACATCAAGAAATTGACAGAACTAAGCTGTCATTCACTTATTCATCAAGCAGAAGACAGAGGAATATGGCAGGTTTTATGTGCTAATGCTTCCATCGATACACCTCCATGACCATAATGGATCAAGAGTTATGTGAGTTAGCTGTCTTCTGAAATGGGGAGGCATGAGACTCACAGCCCATGGTGATGTCAACTGCAGCTAGTAAGACCTAGCCATGTTAAGTAAAATCTTCTTCAATAAAAATATCGGATTCAGGACTGTTGTTGTTCTCACATCTATTTAACATGTTTCCTCTCAGACACTCAACTCTTAACTTAGCAATAATTGTCTTCTTTAACATTATTCCCTTCCTGTATTTCTCCTTATATGCAACATGATCCATGGTATTCTCTTCCAACTAATCCACCTCAATACCGGTATCATTTATGCCCTGCGTGGTTGTACACTCATTCACTCATTTAAATTGCTGTTTATCTCTGGGTGTAATCCTTCCAATTGTATCATTGTCTGCTTCTTTCCTCTGAGTGTTTATACCGTCAACCAGATTCTCGGGTTCCTTCTAGCTGTACCATTCTCTTCAGACCATAATGATCTATTCCTGCCTCTGCATTGTTCACCTGCTCTCAAAGGGCCTTGACCACACCTAGCTTTCATGCATAAATTCACCAGCAGCAGTGCATTTTGTCTGCCTATTCATTTCCCAACACTCTTGCATGCTTTGGAGAAAATATCAATGAAAGAAGTGGGAGGATAACATCCTGAAAGGTCCTGTTATTCCTGAGTCTCAGGAAGTGTACCACCAGGATATATTCTTCTTCTTTCGCTATCACCCATCTTTTTCTTCTTCCACTATCACCCTTCTTTTTCACTCTCTCTTAAAAGGGCTGTTGGCATGTCAAGTTATGGCTTACAGCTAGGCTGCGATATCATTGTATTTCAGCCTAACATGAGTGATTTAAGCAAATCCTTAATTAGCTGCCTAGTTAGAATGGCATGCTTAGTGGAAGAGGTGGGGGCAGTGGGTCTGTTACCCTCCCCGCTCCCCTTCTGTCTCTGTCTGTCTGTCTCTCTCTCTCTCTCTGTCTCTCTCTCTCCAAAATGAGGCCACAGAATTCATACACTGAGCAGCCAGGATAAAAAAAACAATGGAACTTCTGGAGATCTGTTACAGTCAAACCCTTAATGCGGAGACAGCATCTGATTTATTCTAAGGTTAGCTGGTAAAAACAGAAAGAGTTAATGGGTTTTCACTCACTGATTTTGATTGGCTATGTGTCTGAGTATCCTGTCTGCTACCTCCTGATTGGATTCAACAAGAAGTCGAAGAATTTCGTCTCTCAGTTCACCAGAAATCTGTAGTATATTAACAAATATGAGTCATAATTTACATAACTGCATATTCACACTGTGCTACCAGTGCCAAACCTGGACACCATCAAAGGCTAACCTACTTAAAATCAACACATGTGCAATAAGTTGCCAACTTTACTATCCGAGAACAAGTAAGAAATAATACTATCACCCAGACCAAGCAGCAAATTAATTGAGAAACAGAAGATCAAATGGTTTGGCCATCTCACAAGAATGCAACCAGAACAAATACCAACATGAGTTCTGCATATGAAAAGGTCTGAAGTGAAAGCAAGGGGTTGCCCTAGGAGAATATGGACTGATCACATTAAAGACCTTCTACACAATGAAGGTATGACAACAGCCATTGCTACCCATCAATGGATCACAAAATTTTCCTCCCCATGATGCATAACAGCAAAGATCCCCCTCAAGCAATGAATCTTCTATTAGGGTTTCGGGGTTCCATTTTTGGAGAAAACCAGAATAGATCCACTGCGTCGCCAACAAGCATGTCATAAGAGTTGACTAACTGGGAACTCCCTTTGAAGTGGGAGTGCATCTGCCCGAGCAGCAAAGAACAACCAACCGCAAACAAATAAACCAGCCAAACGGATGTAAATGCAAAACTTAGACCTTGGCACAAAGCCAGTGTGCAAACAGACAAACAAACAGGACTTTCTGCCGGAGCTTACAACCAGTGAACAAAGAAGAAGAAGAAGAAACAATGAATCACAAACCGTTCTTTCCCACAATGCTTAACAGCAAAAGTGGAAATGGATGATGATGATGAAAAATTGATATAATTTACTAGAATAAAAACTGCTGAACATATAATCACCTAAAAAAAAAACCACAAACAGCTGACAGATACATTATGAAGTTGGCTTGCGACAACCTGTGAAAGATTTACAAACTAATTTACTTGCATGAAAACAGATTTCAGCTTAGAAGACCATAAATCAAGACATTGAACACTCCCTCTCTGTGTGTTTCTGTGTCTGCATGTGTGTGCACATGTGTGTGTGTGAATGTCTGTTTTCCCCCTTACCCCCTTCATTTAGCTTCTTGGCCCCGGTCCACTGGATTAATAAAAAAAAAATCTTTATTGTTAAATATTCAATGTTGAATTAAGAATCGACATTGCGGCACTCGGGACACTCCCATAAGCGCTCTGCACCCATCTGCAGCAGCAAGTGAAGAATCGCAATTCAGATGGCACTAGTAACTGTCTGACTGTATATCCATCATGCCCTTTCTTTTAGTTTTGGGTGTTGGCCATATCCCATTGTTGTCGGCCTATTATGCATTGATGGAGTTAAATAGAATAGTTAAACACTGCTTGATACTTAAATAGAATAGTTAAACACTGCTTGATACTTAAATAGAATAGTTAAACACTGCTTGATACTTAAATAGAATAGTTAAACACTGCTTGATACTTAAATAGAACTTACACTTGCCTTGATACTTAAATAGAATAGTTAAACACTGCTTGATACTTAAATAGAATAGTTAAACACTGCTTGATACTTAAATAGAATAGTTAAACACTGCTTGATACTTAAATAGAATAGTTAAACACTGCTTGATACTTAAATAGAATAGTTAAACACTGCTTGATACTTAGAAATAGAATAGTTTAAACACTGCTTGATACTTAAATAGAATAGTTAAACACTGCTTGCTAAATAGAATAGTTACTGCTTGATTAAATAGAATAGTTAAACACTGCTTGATACTTAAATAGAATAGTTAAACACTGCTTGATACTTAAATAGAATAGTTAAACACTGCTTGATACTAAAATAGAATAGCAACTTGATGAAATAAAATACAATTTAACCCAGCTTTGCCTTGTTGAGAAGAGAGAGTTGAGTGCCTATCAGAGAAAAGAAGAAGGAGATGTCACTGTCTGAAAGGAAAGTCTCTTTCCAATAAAACTACTCAGGATGTTTCAGAAATGTGATTATGGCTTGTTTAGGCTTTGCTGAGGTGGTACTTCTCTGCAAAACTTTTTGACATCCATGTATTTGGCAACCATTTACATGGTTAATGAAGTACAAGTTGTAGCATTTGTGTCGTTTTCCAAACAAAGCAACATTTTTCTTTTCTAAACAGGACACATACCAAATTGGACTTTATAAAAAGGGGATGTATCTTAGGTACCACTGTAATTATTTTTAGGATGAATCAACTTGAGAGCTCTGGTTAATTTAAAAAAAATTGACTTTTCTGCAATGCAAACAAATGACCATTTGGCCAGCAGGCAGGTGTTTAAGCCACTGCACTACCACCACTGCCAACATCATGTCTGTACTTCATTTTATTTTCTTCAGCATTTGCCCATCAAAGGGTGGCTGACACATTGTGACGTGGTCAAGAGCTAGGTTGTGATATAGGCACCTTTCGGCAGTGCCGTGTTAATGCATGGGCCTGCTGGCCACTTGCCTGAGGGCCCGATGAGAATAAGGGCCCCTAAATATATGTTTAATATGATGGAACATTTAAATTTCAGCCCTGTGAGTGGTTGTCATAGGGGCTCTGGCACACTGGTTTGCGCAGGGGCCCATAATGCTGTTAAGGCAGCTCTCCGCCTTTTGGTCCAGCATATCTGATTTCAGCAAACTACTAATTAGTCAACCTTTTTTTAATAAGACTATTAGCAGTCCAGTGGGTCTATTCACCCCCCCCCCTACCCACCAAAATGGGGTCCTGGAACCCGCACTGGGACACATCTCTACTGAATATTGTTCCTTCCTCAAATATCTGTTTAAACTGTGATTGATTAATTGTGTGTGTGAATAATGATCTTTTGTAACTTCTGCTTCTATCAAAGATAAACTGCATTTCTAGTGTCAGTCAGTTTGTGCTGGCACTTCTGATGACTGCCTTAAGCATTTAATGCATGTATATGCTTTTAAATATCTTAGGCAAAGAAAAGGAGAAATACTGACAGCTTGAAAGATCTGAACTTCAAGGGAGATCGGCTAATAAACAGCATCCTGTCTCAGAAGCTGAATTTTGTTGGTCATATCAAGTACCATGACGAATTGGAAAAAATGATAGCAGAAAGCATGGTACCAGGAAGGAGGGGCAGAGGCTGACCAACATGAAGATGGGCACAGGATATAAGTTACTCCTTGAGTATGAAAGTACATGAGGCAGGAATGCTGGCGAGAGACCGAGTTTGTTTCAGGCAGACCGTGATGAGTGCTACGTTCTGCAAAGGACCTGCTACATGATGATGATGTTGTATGCTACTGGATTTGCTGACAATGATGGACAGCAACATAGCAGCTTTGGGGTGACCCCTTTTGTTATAAAGTTGGAATTGCTATTACTGTTTAAACATTACCTCAAAAAGCTCGTGATGGTTGTCTATCATATCCTTGACCACCCCGATGATCTCTTTACTCTGCTCCACCCGTTCTGCTGATTCTGACAGCATTTCTTTATCAGCACTTTTATCGGCCTTTGTTCGATGAATAATGTTAGGACCAAAAAGTGTTGCCAGGTTGTGTGCATCCATCTTATTGCCAGCAACCTGTAAAAAAAAAAAAAAAAAAAAAAAATTTTAAAAATGAAAATTCTCAAATCTGTTTAGTGCCATGCAACATAAGGGGCATGATAGGAATATTTTCTGTATCCCAACCCCTTCATAACGTGTTCTCTTATTTTTCACATTTGGTAAGACTCGCCTGCCAAGATAGTGGTCTTGTTTCCACCCTCAAAAGTGGTGAGAGTTTTTCCAACTGGTATAAGTCCACAGTTATCAAGTAGTCAGGTAACTGCGGTTCAGACTTCAAATCAAACGGGTCATCCCGTAGTTGCTCTGTTCAAACAAAAATCACACTGAAAAACCATTACCGTTCCTTGTGGAAAAACAGACACAGAGAGCCTTCTCAGCAATACACATGCAATAAATGCATAAGGCAGCTGTCGGAAGTGCCAAAACAAACAGTCTGATACTAGAAATGCAGTCCACAGTTGAGTCTATAGTTTTCTATACATATGGCTCTGTGTTGAGGGGCAGAAAAAGTGTATGAGGGGGTTCATGTTTGTTTGTTTGTTTTAGTATCCAGAAGCTATGAGTTGTTAACCATTAGGCTCAGTATTTTGGATATCGCAGCCTTTCGGCCTTGATTCCATTGTAAATACCGTAAATCTGGGAGAAATGTGGCTTTTGTGCCTACCCCCGGGAGTGAACCCAGACCAAAAGGAGTTCATCACCCGGTCTCAGCGCAATCCGGTTTAGCCAACTACGCTAGAGAGCCGGGCGGGGGTGGGGGGTGGGGGGAGTTCATTGCAAAGGCGAATGGATGTTGCCTAGAGCAGCAAAGCCTTGCATATGATACCATAACGTCTAGTTTGAGAATTGAGGTGGAGGCAGTCTTTGCTGCCTTCCACTGGCTTGAGAATCAGCTGTACACACATGCCATGTGTGATGATCCTGCTTTGCATGGTCTCCACGAGTACATTGTGGCAAGCAGAAAGTCCGTGCAACAAGGGACAGCACGAGATACTTGTGCCTAGTCGAGGAAGCGAGGGAAAGCCCGAGCTAGCCTCGTGGTCAGTCGATCATCAGAAGTCAGGGAAGACGGTTGTAGTATTTGAAGATGTTTAATGTTCGAAAATGTCGCGAGTGAAATAAATGTGAATAATGTGTTGAACATGTGAAATAAATGGACGAGAATAAACTGACAGAATGTATCAAGAAGCTGACCGGCGTTTGTGTTGTCAACCCTAGACGTTAAAGTTGGTGTAAATCAAGGTACATGTCAGGTCTACGTCAAGGTTCATTCCAAGTGAAGCATTAAATTATTACAAGTGGGGTGCTTGTCCGAAGGAAATTAGAAACCACGCGGACCATAAGCATAGGAAAACATTTTTGTTTCTTCCAAGGTAAGATAAACATGCGGAAAACAGTGTACTTCACCCGAGCAGAGCCTATAATTAACACAGCAAGCGCCGACAGGTCAGCTGCTGACCAATGAAAACCGGTGTGTCATCTACGCCCTGCCACACACCGTATCACCAAGTTTTGCGGATTCAGGAAGTTTCATGTTTACCAAAGGTACATATCGTAAATATTATAAATCAAGTTTGTGAATTAAATCAGATTTGTGACGATTATTGTTTCGCGGAAACCAGCAAACTATGAACTACGTTTGGGAACAAAAGTTACGTTAAGCTTTATAACCACAGTGACATTTTAACATCAATGTGCGTTTATCAGAATGGCATCTAAAAGGTTGGTAAAACATAAGAACACTATGTCGCAAGTATCTTCAGCGACAACAATGAAAGATACATCGATAAGTAACCAGAAGATCAAGATGTGCATTTTTTGTAAGTACCAGCACAGTTCTTCGACTATCTGCGACAGAGATCCTAAATATTCAAGTTATATTGAAGACTTGGTAAATAAAAAGTGGCAAAATAAACAAAAGAATAACCTTAAAAAGTGCCACTTCTGTAAAGCATTCGGACATATTGTAAAACACTGTGTTGGGAAACAGATGTTAAAAGACAAGAAAAGATCCTTGTTTGCAAAAACTAATTCAGTTACAATGGATTCAGAAAGTATTCCTACTCTAGATTGTTCACTGTGCTACTGGAGAAAGAATCAAGGAAAAGTTACAGCTCCACATATCATGTTTATAGGAGCTTTTGGGAAACTAGAAGCACTATGTTAAATATATCTTACCACTATCATATCGGCTAAGAGTCCTTGGGGTTAAACACCCTGTGAAAGGTGATGTAGAAATATTGGTTCAGTCCAATTTTCTATGTAGTAAATATCTCAAAGCTGATCATCATCATCATCACTATCATCATTTCACTTTAAACCCGATAGAGTAGATATAGTGACTAGACTACTACAGATGCAATAAGTGCAAAGATGGTTTAAACTCTTCACCAGCTCAGTACAGGGAAAAGCATGCAGTAAATATTAAAGGCAGTTTTAAAGGGCAGTAATTGAGGATAATCAGGAACCATAATCCCTAGTGGGAATACAATTAAATTGATTTACTATATCTGGTTAAATGAAAATGACACTTGATGTTCCATAAAGTGTCATTTTGTTAAAAAGGGGGGAGAGTGTGATGATCCTGCTTTGCATGGTCTCCACGAGTACATTGTGGCAAGCAGAAAGTCCGTGCAACAAGGGACAGCACGAGATACTTGTGCCTAGTCGAGGAAGCGAGGGAAAGCCCGAGCTAGCCTCGTGGTCAGTCGATCATCAGAAGTCAGGGAAGACGGTTGTAGTATTTGAAGATGTTTAATGTTCGAAAATGTCGCGAGTGAAATAAATGTGAATAATGTGTTGAACATGTGAAATAAATGGACGAGAATAAACTGACAGAATGTATCAAGAAGCTGACCGGCGTTTGTGTTGTCAACCCTAGACGTTAAAGTTGGTGTAAATCAAGGTACATGTCAGGTCTACGTCAAGGTTCATTCCAAGTGAAGCATTAAATTATTACACCATGATTGTAACTGACTCACAGAGTATGTTGAGAAAGGTGAAAACAGGCATGCTTCGTGCAGAGTGGCAAGCATCACCTCAGAGGTACCGGGTAGTTAGCATCCTTTGTATATTATCTCCAGGTCATGTCGGTGTGTTGGTAAATGAGCAGTCAGATAGACTGGCTGGCTCTGCACCACATATTAATATTAAACAGGCAACAACAATCAAGCAAACTTGAGAACGGATACTCATTCTAAACAAGAGATAAACTTAAACTCTCCTATTATAAACTTGCAATACTTTAAAGATAAGTACTTATCTCAAATATGTAGAATGGATGATCTGGAGGATGGATTCAAGTCAGTATACAATTTCCTAAGGTCGTGGGTTCGCTTCCTCGCGGACTTCATCCGGATTTTTTTCAAAAATGATCTTGGCTCCCAGGTGGACCCAGCCTTGAGTGGGTACCAGCAGCAGTCCCAGGGAGTAAAGGCGGCCGGCGTTATGCTGACTACATCACCTATCTTGTGCCGATTGGTCTATAAAATATATATGCTCTACATGCCCTATACGCCTAAAGGCATGGAAAAGGGTCCTTTACTTTACTTTAAATATAATTTCCTAATCAAGTATAGATTTTGTCATAAGAATGTTTAGTCAGATGTCATCTCTTCACAGAAGGTTGGTTGTGAAAGACATACAACACGTTCTGTCCTTTTCCCTGGTTGTACACTTTCAAACTGTGCTTTCTCCATCTCTAAATGTTATCCTCCCACTTTCATTGATGTCTATCCATTTCTCATCAGCCTTCAACATTTTCTTCCCCCACTATGTTTAAAGGCAGAAGGAAATTAACAGTCTGACAGAATCAAAAGTGTGGGGCTTTGGGAGAGAACTAAATAAATTATGGTGAGTCAGAAAATGAGGAAGAGAGGCTAGTGTAAATGAGACACACGTTTAGAAAGTCTGATAGTGAAATGGCTAGAGTGTCTTTGCACTGGAAACCACAGGATAAAGGGAATACAGACAGACCAAAGTAAACATCAACAAGAGAATTGGAGAGGAGGACAGGTAGTCTTCTTCTTCATCTGCTGCAAACTTTGGCAAAAAGTTTTATTTGTGTGCACATCCATTTCACAGATCTGGCTCACTTGTATGCAGACTACTGGTTCTTTGTTTCTCAGGCAGATGTACCCCGACTTAGAAGGATGCCCTAGTAAGGTGACTGATACAACACGCTTGTAGGAAACGCAGTAGGTCTATTCTTGTTTTCCCCACAATGGTGCCCTAGAACCTACAGGGGGAAGGACATGTAGTGAGCAGTATCTAACAGCAGTGGATAGGATGACTTGATGACAGTTGGTTAAGTACCTTTACTCTATGGGGATCAGGAAGAAGAGAGGAAAAAAGATAGTTTTATAATATTTCAGAAGTTGTTTAAGTACCTTTGCTCTATGGGGATCAGGAAGAAGAGAGGAAAAAAGATAGTTTTATAATATTTCAGAAGTTGTTTAAGGACCTTTGCTCTATGGGGATCAGGAAGAAGAGAGGAAAAAAGATAGTTTTATAATATTTCAGAAGTTGTTTAAGGACCTTTGCTCTATGGGGATCAGGAAGAAGAGAGGAAAAAAGATAGTTTTATAATATTTCAGAAGTTGTTTAGGGACCTTTGCTCTATGGGGATAAGGAAGAACAGATGAAAAGAGATAGTTTTATAATACTTCAGAATATTACATGTTTAATGACAAACAATCCACATTCCTTAGTCATGTGATGAGAAGGAGAAAACTGGAGTACATCGTGACAAGGAAAGTTGAAGGGGAGAAGAGTCAGAAAGAGAACAGATGCTGGAAAGTTTGACATCATGGCATGGAAGATCTTCTGTGTCCTAGTTGACTAAAAGTACATGAGACAGAAGGTTGTGGATGGACATGACTACCAACGCCACACAGCATGGACTTTGAGAAAAAGAAAAATGACAAACATAAAACTTACTGTTTCTCCTTTTTCATCAGTGCTATCAGGAGCATGTTGACTGACTGTGGCTAGAAACTGCAGCAATGCCCAAAGTGTGTCCCTGTTGGTAACTGGCAGCATTGAGATCAGAAGACGGAGAGCTAAGTGTCTCTTGTTGTCATCTTTCATTCCTGGTGAAGAATTACGTGAGCTTAAGTTAAACCTCAGTGACACGGATTCCAAGGGTTGAAAATCAAGTTTGTGTTTAGAAGAAAAAATATCTGTGTTAACTGGGACTTCTTCTTCTTCTTCTTTGTGTTCACCATCTGTAAACTCTGGCAGAAAGTTCTGGTTGTTCGTCCACTTCTGGACCTTGGTCTCATTCCAGAACTTGGATTTTGCATGCACATCCATTTTACAAGGCTAGTTTATTTGTAAGCATTCTGTTGGTTCTTCGCCTTTTAGGCAGATGCACTTTGAAGGAAATATGCCAACTTAGTCATCTCCTAATGCAAGCTTTTCTGGGAAAGGGGTGGGGGGTGGGGGGGGGGGGGGGGTGCAGTGTGTCTGTTTTTTTTCCCTTCCAATTTGGGGGTCTCTCAAACTCAAACAGGGATAAGCTGATGATAATGTTTAACCTCACCAGGACATCAACTGAGCGATCAACCTGTTGAATCCATAGGTTGGGTTATATTAGTGTCCCGGCAAAGGCCGGAGAGGGTCTTTAAAACAACAACGATACTGTGGAAAACTGCTGGAGACTAATAATCATTATATATCCCTAAAATTTTGGTCACGGAAAATTATTGTTCTTCTGAAATGATTTGTGTTAATGAGATTTTAATGTATTTCATTTTTGAATTCTTTATAGAATTTTTTATCTCAAGAAACAAAAATATCATAGAAAATTGTATGTTTTGTAGTTTGTTGTTGGCTCTCAATATTGTTAATCTTCTTCTTCTTCACATTCACTAGCTGTAAACTACAATGGAAAGCTCTGGTTGTTCATCCACTTCTGGACTTTAGACTTGTTCCAGAACCTGAGTGGTGCGTGTACATTCGTTTTTATAGATTTGAATTATTTGTCTACAGACTGTTGGTTCCTTGCCTCTCAGGCAGATGCACTCCAACTTTGAAGAAACCCCCCTTCCCCTCCCCCCCGACCCTAATTAGTCGACTCGTACAAAAGAGAAATCGACATAAAGCAGTCTGCTGCCTAATCACCCACAGTTTAGATTGAACTGTAATCTCAGAATTTTAAAGTATGTTCGAAACAATTAAAATACAGGTACTAACAATGGATATTAATGTTTGTTTAATACGTTTATCTAGTTAGTATTGCATAGAAAATATTTTAATTGCCAAAGTTAAAAAAGATTATACATGAAAAGTAATTGTATTTAAACTCATTCAATAAAAATAACATCAACAATTATGTAAACTCACTTTCAGCATATATGAATGGCAGATAAAGCTCTCTAGTGAGAAGTGGGTCAGGCAGATCTCGAAAGTACTCCTTCAGCAAGGCTCCAACGTCATGTGGGTTGTGCTCCTCTGTGAGCTGGACTTCCCTGCCACTGTCAAATTCCTCACGCAGCTGTCAGTTTCAGATAAATTAATTTATATTAGGCAATGTAGTAGTTGTAATTTATTTAACAGTATCCTATTTATAAACATCTGGGTTGTTACTGTGATATACAGAGTTTTCAATACTGGATATTTATATATCATATTATCTCTCTGTAGAACCTTCTTATACATCTGTATCATTTTAAACAATGTTCTTTTTTTTTCTTACCAAAGAAAACGTTTGTAAACTTTATTTATCATAATTATCATGTGCTATACCAGTGATCATGTAGCAGGTACTTTGCAGAACGTCGCTCTCATCACGGTGTGCCTGAAATAAACTCAGTCTCTCACCAGCTCTCCTGCCTCATGTACTTTCGTACTCAAGGAGTCACTTATATCCTGTGCCCATCTTCGTGCTGGTTGGCCCCTGCCTCTCCTTCCTGGTACCATGCCTTCTGCTATTATTTTTTCCAATCCGTCGTGGCGCTTGATATGACCAAAATATTTCAGCTTCTAAGACAGGATGCTGTTTATTAGCCAATCTTCCTTGATGTTCACATCTTTCAAGATGTCAGTTTTTCTTCTCTGCTTTGTCCAAGATAATTCTGAGAATCTTTCTATAGCATTTCAGCTCAAAAGACCCTATTCTCTTTCTTAAGGACTGGGAGATATTTCCCTAGCAATCAAGAAAAGTTGCTGAAGGCTGAGGACATAGGCTGAAGCCATGTGGATGTGGAAAGCAAGGGAAATCTACCACATTACTTTCCCAAGAAACTTATCATGGAAGCCAAAAATGAAACTCAAAGATCTGATGATGAGGCCCCCAGGCCAGGCAGATCACAAACTCAAACTGGGGAAGAGAACGATGGCTATGACAGTAAGCATGGGTAATTATGATTTGCAGTTTCACACGATCACCTGTCATAGATAATGTCTGTTTTCTTATGTCAGTAATAGCATTTGAATGAATGAATGAATCAAAAATGGATGCCACTGTTCATGGTCCACGACTTGAGTTTTGAGTGCATTTATTTTACAGATCTAACTTTTTAAAATGTGCAACCTGTTGGTTCCTCCCTTCTCAAGAAGATGCACTTCGACTTCCTAGGAGACGTATCTTCTTTGGTCAGGCTCCCAATTAGGTAGGTGTTTCTAGGTAGGTGCTTTCTTCTTCTTCTTTATCTTTCTGAGCCCTTGAGGTTCATTGCTGCAGATATCACCCGCCTCCATTCATCCCTCTGGCTGGCCTTATATTTTCAGTTGGTGATACCAAGTGTTTGCAGGTCTGTCTGAACATTATCTCTCCATCTTCTTCTTGGTCTGCCTTGTGGTCTACGACTATTCATTTCCCTTGTGTATACAGTTTTTACTTCTCTGTCATCAGACATTCTTTCAATATGGCCCATTTCTGTCTATTAGCTCTCATGATGCCAGTGATCAGTGGTGATTTAAACAGATTATGAATTTCGATATCGCTTCTCACCTGTTTGCATCTTTGATGGGTCCAAAGATTCGTCAAAAACCAGTAATAAGCTTCGTCTCTTTTAGTTGTGCTCCAGGTTTCAGAGCCATATAAAATGACTGGTCTTATCAACGGTTTATATATTTTGATTTTGGTGTTGCAAAACAGACACTTTGACTTTAACAGATATTGAAGGGCATAGTATACTTATTTCCAGATTATATTCTAGATAGTATTTCTTCTCTCAGCATGTTGGAGTAGTTGAAGTTTGCACCCAAGTACTTATACATTTCCGTTCGTTTGATTTTCATATTATCAACAGTTAGGTGCTTGCTGAAAAAAAAAAAATTGTCACATTTAACCAGCATCTCCCAAGTGGGAGCGTTTGTTTATAACTGTAACTAGGTTACATGCGCCATATAAAATGGCTTAGCATTGCACGCCACCAAAAGCCCTGAAAAAGACTTCTGCAATGCTGATGTGATAAAAATAGACAGATCCAAATACTGTCCTGACTGGCAATGAAGTTAGTTAGTTAGTTAGTAAGGTTATCATCATTGCACTCCGGAAATGTCCATAGGTGCTCAGATCCTCCCCTCAGTATAAACCCCAACGTCCGATGGCTAATAATACCAGTTCTATGTTGATTAACAAGTCTTCTGACGTGTCTGGTGTGCGTCTCGTTTTTTTGCTGTGCCGATCTTAATTCCCAAGTCTGCCATTCTGGAGAGTGATGTGGATTCACTGCCACCAAAGTCCTCTATCCTTCCCATTTCTCTGAGGGCATTAATAATATCAGCATGATCGGTAGAGATAGCGGATCCAGCCAACCTGTCAGCTCTTTCATTTCCATCGACGCCTGCGTATCCCGGAACAAAAATAAAGGTGACTCCAGGCACAGTGGACTTCTGTTGGTGACGAAGTTATCCACTCAAAAGCCAATGGGCGACTTGGTCGCTGATAACCTGTTTATAGGACAACCACAGAGAAGAGTAGATAGGTTTTGACTGGTCTGAGCTCTGGTATTGGCACACTACCACAAGGTTCAGCATATCTTCATGTCTCTTGTTCTCCAACTTCTCTTTCATAAATTAAAATCTTCAAATGAAAGTTTATACATGATAAACTTACCTGTTTAACCCTCTTTTTGGAAGACCCCACTCTGAATATTCCTAGAGTTTGCAAGCCTAAAATAAAGACACAGTTACAGTTCAGTATTAGAATAACAAAGGTCTCACACACTCTTCTTTTTATTCTTCTTCACTTCTTCTTTTACCACTTCAGGTGTCATGGGAAATACACATACCAGGTTCTGCTTCTTGCCTTTTTAGCTGCCTTGACCATAAACATATCACACTGTAAGTTTCTCTGATGTTATCTTTATATTTTGTTCTTAGTCTACCACACACACCACATTCTTTTGATATTTGATGTGTATTGCTTAGCTTTGCAAGGCATTTTTTCTAAGCAGACACACCATGTCATTTGCTGTCTTGTATATCATTTAGTATTAGTTCTGTGCTGATCTTTTTATTTTTTTTAACCTTATTCTTCATAACAAATGAATTAAGATCAATCACATTACTTCCATACATTGTTCTGATTCCTACATTTTCATGACAAAATTATCAAAATGTCTACTTCTAATTAGTGTTCTCTAGCTGAAATTTTCTGGTTTTTCGCTCACTTCTGGACTTTGGACTTGTTCCAGAACCTGAGTTTTCTGTGCACATTTGTTAAACATATCTGACTTAATTGCCTGGTGATTATTGGTTCTTCACCTCTCAGGCAGATGCAGTGGCCTAAAATGGAGGAGAGGCTTGGCAGAATGTTGAGCTTTGAAGTTACTTTTGCTCCCGACAGCGTTTTGCTAATGCAGTTTCCACATATGGATGATAGTCTACAATTTCACTGCCTGAACTACTGAGTTTAGTGCTTCATTGCAGCCATGTGAACTGCATTTATCCAATGTAATGCCTTTCATTTCTGCAGCGGTTGTGTCATCGTGGTTTTCAGTATGGCCAGTTTACATGTGAAGGAGCGAAAAACCTTATGTAATATTTCTTCAAGTGTATAGTAGCCAACTTATCGTCCCCGACTTCTTCCAGCAATTACACACTGCATTTCTGGTGGCGATTGTTGGCTTTGGCACCTCTAGAAACTGAAAAACGCATTTGCTGCGTGAGCATATTTCTGGACTGTGCCCAGTCTAATTGTCTGTTCACTAGTTTTTCAAATGTGGCAGTGATGGACATTTCAGTTGGTTTTCACTGGCACAGGAATGGAGCAAGTATGGGTAACCTGACTGCAGTAAAGCTGAAATCTCAACTAAGACTAAGCCTACGTCTAAGACTAAGAAAGACTAAGACTAAGCCTATGTCTAAGACTAAGAAAGACTAAGACTAAGTCTAAGACTAAGAAAGACTAAGACTAAGCCTACATCTAAGACTAAGACTACGACTAAGACTAAGCCTACGTTTAAGACTAAGAAAGACTAAGAAAGACTAAGACTAAGCCTACGTTTAAGACTAAGAAAGACTAAGAAAGACTAAGACTAAGCCTACATCTAAGACTAAGAGAGACTAAGACTAAGCCTACGTCTAAGACTAAGACTACGACTAAGAGAGACTAAGACTAAGCCTACGTCTAAGACTAAGACTAAGACTACATCTAAGACTAAGACTAAGCCTACGTCTAAGACTAAGAAAGACTAAGACTACGTCTAAGACTAAGACTACGTCTAAGACTAAGCCTACGTTTAAGACTAAGAAAGACTAAGCCTACATCTAAGACTAAGACTACGTCTAAGACTAAGCCTACGTTTAAGACTAAGAAAGACTAAGCCTACGTTTAAGACTAAGAAAGACTAAGACTACGTCTAAGACTAAGACTACCTCTAAGACCAAGACTAAGCCTACATCTAAGACTAAGACTAAGCCTATGTCTAAGACTAAGAAAGACTAAGACTAAGAAAGACTAAGACTACGTCTAAGACTAAGACTAAGCCTACCTCTAAGATTAAGAAAGACTAAGACTAAGCCTACATCTAAGACTAAGACTAAGCCTACGTCTAAGACTAAGACTAAGCCTACGTCTAAGACTAAGACTAAGCCTACGTCTAAGACTAAGCCTATGTCTAAGACTAAGACTAAGCCTATGTCTAAGACTAAGACTATGCCTAAGACTAAGAAAGACTAAGACTACGTCTAAGACTAAGACTAAGCCTACGTCTAAGATTAAGAAAGACTAAGACTAAGCCTACATCTAAGACTAAGACTAAGCCTATGTCTAAGACTAAGACTAAGCCTACGTCTAAGACTAAGACTAAGCCTATGTCTAAGACTAAGAAAGACTAAGACTAAGCCTACATCTAAGACTAAGCCTACATCTAAGACTAAGACTAAGCCTATGTCTAAGACTAAGAAAGGCTAAGACTAAGAAAGGCTAAGACTAAGGCAGATGCACTTTGACTTGGAAAGAAACAGGGTTCAAGGTCAAGTGTTGCACTGTGAAACATAATTGGAGAGAAATAGTAAATATGCTCGGCTTACCATAAGTTTCAATATGTTTAAAACAAGCCTTGACAATATTCGGCACCTGGGCTTCCCCTTGGCTTGCCCGCTGACTGCCATCCAATGCTAGACTGTTCAGTCTAGAGGCGGGGTTAGAGGCTGGTAGTGACAAGGCATCAATCAAACTTGAGCTAGTGTTACGACTACATTCGGATTCTGGAAGACTGTCAATACTGGCTGCTCTCTGATGGATACATTGTAAAAAAGATAAATTAATAATAATAGATTAATGGTATGTTAATATCAGGCTAATAACATTAGGAGGCTAATTATAAGTCATGATAGGTTAATTATATGTTAATGATAGGTAAGGATAATTTATGATATGTTAGTGATAGATTAATGATATGTTATTGGTATGTTAATGACATGTTAATGATAAGCAGTGATATGTTGATGATGTGTAAGAGATACAGTAATGTCATGACATATTAGACATAGGTTAATGATATGATAATGCTAGGTTAACACTAGGTTAATGATATGTTAATCATGTGCTAGTAATATGCTAATGATATGATAATGTCATGATAGGGTAATGCATATGACACTCATAATAGAGAGATATAAAATGACCAGAACTCAGTTTTGAGTTTTTCTCAGTGCATTAAAATTAGACAATTAATCCCGTCTATGAGGACCAAAATCTATTTCTAATTATTAAAAAAGATCAAAAGGCAAAAGTCCTCCAAATCCTCCCAGCCCCTAGTCTTTATTTACATCACTACCTACATATGTGTATGATTACACCTCTTGATCAATGCTCTTGAAACATTTAAAAAAAATAGAACATCTGAACATAGAGGATATTTATGTTATAAATCAGTCAATCAATCAATAAGGTGCCACCTCCAAAACGGAAAAAGTAAAGTAAAAAAAAAAAAAGGATCCATTGGCGCATCAAGCATAGGATTCGAGACTCATATATATATCTCTATACTGTAGTCCAAACAGTGCTTTTCTTCTTCTTCTTCTTCTTATTAGTGTTTAGCCGCTGTAAATTCTGGCAGAAAGTTTTTGGTTGTTCGTTTAAATCTGGAGTTTGGTCATATTCCAGAACCTGAGTTTTGCATGTTTTCCAGATATCTAGCTTGCAAAACTGTTGGTTCCTTGCCTCTTAGAAGGGTGCACTCTGACTATGAAGAAAACTTCCCTAATTAGCCATTTTGTATGACATGCTTCTTAGGGAGATGGCCTATTCACCTCAACCCCCCCCCCCCCCCCCCCCCACCCCTATAGAATAGGCCCTGAAACCCCCGCAGAGAAGATGGCACTTGGTGGCTGTTGCAGCTCCACAATGACGGTTGGCAGTAATAGATTGCCAGCAGTTCTTCCATCAGTGTTTTTGCCATCAGCATCAGCAATGGTATGCAAGTCAGGTGACTTAACATGTGTTTGAATCTAAGGTAATCGACTTCACTGTACTGGGGTTTTTTCCTCTATAGCTCAGTCAGTCCCTATCTCTGCAGATTGACTGGACACCCTCTGAGAGCGTCACACAAAACATTAACTCTTTAGCTCCATGAATTACTCTGTTCGGTTTACATAACACCATCATACATGAACAGAATGACAGCATGTATGAAAAAGAAGAAGACGAAGATGAAGAAGGAGAAGTAGCAGAAGGTGAAGGAGATGAGGAAGAATAAGAATAAGAAGTTGAAGAATATAAGATGAAGAAAAAGAAAAAGGCGAAGACAAAGAAGAAGAAGATGAAGAATAAGAAGTAGAAGAAGAAGACAAGATGAAGTAGAAAGAAGAAGAAGAAGAAGAAGAAGAAGAAGAAGAAGAAGAAGAAGAAGAAGAAGAAGAAGAAGAAAAAGAAGAAGAAGAAAAAGAAGAAGAAGAAGAAGACAAGATGAAGTAGAAAGAAGAAGAAGAAGAAGAAGAAGAAGAAGAAGAAGAAGAAGAAGAAGAAGAAGAAGAAGAAGAAGAAGAAGAAGAAGAAGAAGAAGAAGATCCAAGAAGAAGAAGGGAAAAAAGAAGAAGAAGAGAAGAGAGACTAAGAAAGCAAAAGAGAAGAAAGAAAGAAGAAGAAGAGAAGAAGAAGAAGAAGAAGAGAAGAAGAGAAGAAGAAGAAGAAGAAGAAGAAGAAGAAGAAGAAGAAGAAGAAGAAGAAGAAGAAGAAGAAGGAAGAAGAAGAAGAAGAAGAAGAAGAAGAAGAAGAAGAAGAAGAAGAAAGAAGAAAGAAGAAGAAGAAGAAGAAGAAGAGAAGAAGAAGAAGAAGAAGAAGAAGAAGAAGAAGAAGAAGAAGAAGCACTAGCAGCACAAGCTGCTGTAACAGTAACATGGGTTTCTCATACAGCAGCATATATATATTGCATTCACTTCCGTATTTATTTCCTCACCTTATGACATGGAAACAGCTCATGCTTGCCACTGCCAATCTCTACGGAACCTTGAGAAGAACTACTGGATTTTCGCGGTGATCTCGGGACCTGGAGATTGTCACTGCTGCTTACTCTCATTTTCATAGACGAGGGTGACCCGACACATGCTGCAGAGCACCCACTCCTCTTCTTGTCCAGCTCTCGGTCATTCGATAGACACTTTGCAAGAGGTATACCAAAGACTAGGCCTGAAGATGTCCCTTCTGTAGATAAAATAAAAAATGTAAAGGTAGTCCAATAGCAGATACTGCCTTTAGGGGTAAAGGTTTAGGCCTTCTAGGTTACAAAATTTGTGGTAAGGTTGCAATTCTAGTGGCAGACTGTTAGCATTGGCACTTCTGATGGCTGCCAAATGCATTTAGGTCTTTCAGTACTAAGCAATGCACTCTTGACTAGATATGTAATTTTGATGTCACCATGTGTGTCAACACTGTGATGTCACATGTTGAACACTTTTGACCTCCTTAACCATGATACTGATATGTTACAAGACATTGCAAAAGTCAAGAAGACAAAGTCAAGAAGCAGAAATCAACAAACAGATCTTTCCATCAAATTTATAGCCTTTATAGGAATGAACAAACTTTATTTTCAAAGGGTTCAGTATAGGCACATAGACCCAACAAACCTTATGCCTTTTCAGACTCACTCAGGCACGCTTTATGGCTGAGTGGCATGCTTCATGGCTGAGTGGCATGCTCTGCTTCAGAAATCACGATTGTGAAGCATTCTCTGAATCTTTTCTCAGTTTGTTGGGAAATGAACAGGCAGACAGACTGAATAGCTCTGCACAACTTGGTGGAATATTGATGCAAGATAAGGCAGACGTGGTTAGGGCCTTGTGGGAGAACAAGTACAGTTTGGAGGAGCAAATGGATCACAACAGTTTGGTGAGAGTGATGCAGCAGGGATTGACGAGGAAATCTGGCCGATACTGGATGCTCAGAGAAAAGGCAAGACGGACAATTATCAGAATGCTACTGACACCATAGGTATTGGAACTCTGCACTGGCTGCTGAAGATGGGGATAGAGCACTTATGGAAATGCCTTGAGTGCTGTGACGTTCTTGAATTAACTTAACTCAACGTAGTCCCACTCCTTTGCATACAGTTATTCATTCATACATCATTGGTAGGTAATAATAAACATTTCAATGACATCCAAGTCCTTATTACAAATGCTCGAATGTGCTCTAAAAACACACATTACTGAACAAAATTACTTCTTAGTATAGCAATAAATTTAATCCAATAATGTTATAAATCATCTTCTTCTTCTTATCTTCTTCTTCTTCACTGTAAACTCTGGCGGAAGTTCTAGTTGTTCATCCACTTCGGGACTGCAGTCCTGTTCCAGAAACTGAGTGTTGGGTGTGCATCTGTTTTACTGATCTGACTCATTTGTATGCAGACTGCTGGTTCCTTTTCTCTCAGGCAGATGAACTTCGACTTCGAAGGAAGCTCCCAATTAGTTGACTCTTACGACATGCTTTTGAGCAGGCAGTGGGTCTATTCTTGTTTTCCCTGTAACAGGGCCCCGGAACCCACACGGGGAGTTATACTAACAGGTAACGTAATTTTACCATTATCGGAAACTAGATAATTATACCAAGTGCTGGAATGTGCTTGGCATCTACATTTTAAAATAAAGATAATAATCCTTGTCTTGGCAGGTAGTAGCACTAACCATTAGGCCACTGCAATTAAAGGACCCCTTTCCACACCTTCAGGCGTATTTGGCATATAGGGCTAGACCTATATTTTTCACAGCAATCATCATTTGGTTGGTGATGTGGTCAAAATCACTCCAGCCACCTTTACTTCCCAGGACACCACCTGGCAGCCATTCAAGGCTGGGTTGATCTGTTAGCCAAGTTTGTTTTTGAAAAAACCCTTGACCTTCCATCTGCAGGTGATCATCTAACGCTACACCATGGTGGCTTCAAATGTACATACAGTATGGATATAAATGACCAACATGAAAGCTTGAAATATTGAAACATGTCACTATGATGTTGATTTTTCTTCTTCGCATTCACTGGCTATAAACTCTGGCAGAAAGTTCTGGTTTTTTTGTCCACCTCCAGGTTTTAGTCTTTTTCTAGAACCTGAGTGTTGTGTGCACACCCATTTTACAGATCTAGCTTATTTGTATGCAGACTGTTCCTTGCCTCTCAAGCAGATGTACAATGACTAGAAAGAATGCTCCCAGTTAGTTGTCTCCTACAACATGCTTGTTGGGGAGGCAGTGGGGTCTATTCTTGTTTTCCCCACAATGGGATCCAAGGAACCCACACGGGGAACCATAATGATGGTACTGATGGTAATAGTGATGATGGGGATCATCATTCTCATTATGAGAAGACATCAAATCATGGAAAATGACTTTCATCATGAGGTGTAAAGTGATGTCACTGGCTTAGAATGTCTCTTTAGACTTGTTTCTCCTTTGATGAATTTGACATTGATGATGTGATGATGCGATGTAGATGATGATGATGATTAATGTCTCTTTACAAACAACTTCTTTTTCCTTTGATGTTGATGAAGAGGAGACTATGAAATCATGGAAACTGACCTTTCATCATGAGATCTAAAGGTGACGTCACTGATTTTGACCTCCTCTTCAAAGACAGTGACTTCTTTCTCCTTCGTTGATCAGAATTTTCTATGGTAGAGAAAATAAGAGAACACATTAGTTTTGTAGCATTTTGTTTTGTTGGTATGTTGCTGTAAAACCAAGTTCTTCTTCTTCTTCCTCTTTGTCCACCGGCTGTAAGCTCGAGTGGAAGGTCCTGGTTATTCGTCCATTTGGACTTTGGCTTCATGCCTTCTTTGCCTCTCAGGCAGAAATACTCAGACTCCCAAGGAAGACCACAATTAGTCGACACCTAGCACTTGCACTTTTGTGTATTTCTTGCTCTCTTACCTTCCACTTTTCCCTCCAGTGTGGTTTTAAAAAGAGTTATGCATTTTATTGTGGCCTAAATATTTCATTTGTGTCTTGAAAAAAAAAAATTTCTTTCAGTTACTTTCTTTTCCGTTACAATCCCCCAAAAACCTTTGTATTTGATTGTGCTTCTGTTATCCCATCAAGTACAACCGGTTCTTCTGTATCTACACATTCCCAGAGGCAGTTTGATTTTCCAGGAAAAAACTGGCTACTTGTTCTAATATCTCTCCATTTATTGTAATGTTCACTGTTGGTCACTTATTTCTATTGTTAGTTTATAGTAGTTTTGTCGTTGTTATTGCCCTAAACAATGCGATAGACTACTAGCACTATGCCAAAGTCACAAGTGCAAATTTGGCAGTATTCACATAAGTGTATTTTCAGGGCTGCTATTTTCTCACTTTACAATATTCCAAAGCACTCATGTAAATTCCTACTCCTAATTGGTCAAACTAAATCATTACTTTACATGCAACTACACAGTTTTCATTGCCTACCTTCCCCCGCCCCCCTACCCCGAGAGGTAACAATGTTCAAACATGATTTTCTCAAAACAAGGATTATGCATATCAAAAAATCATCTGATAAGCAGAAGCGGTCACAGCACTAATGAAATGCAAATTGGTCTTTAAAGAATATGGATCTCAAGGTGTGGAAATATTCTCTTTACAAAGTTACTTGAGAAGCAGCTGGCTCGACCCCCAGGAAGGTGATGGAGCTTATTTGTCGGGGGCAAAATTAAACATCCTAACTTGCACAGTCTGTGGCAACAACACTAGTCAGGCAGCCCTCTTTCATCAGTAGTAAATTTTTTCTTAACTCAGTTACTTCATTACACCCTACTCCATCTATTTCTCCTGCTGTTTTTGCAGAATTTGCTGGTACATTAGCTACCACTATTACTTCTACACTTAAACAATTAAATTACCAAATCAGAAGGGGGGGGGGGGGGGAGTGGGGAAAAAAATGAAAAAACTGCAGAGAAACACTAATAAATCTATAGGCTGACAAAGCATGCCAGACAGGACAATGTAAACAGGAGAATGAAGATAGATTATCGGTGAAAGGACAAAGTAAACAGGAGAATGAAGATAGCTTATCGGTGAAAGGACAAAGTAAACAGGAGAATGAAGATAGCTTATCGGTGGAAGGACAATGTAAACAGGAGAATGAAGATAGCTTATCGGTGAAAGGACAAAGTAAACAGGAGAATGAAGATAGCTTATCGGTGAAAGGACAAAGTAAACAGGAGAATGAAGATAGCTTATCGTTGAAAGGACAATGTAAACAGGAGAATGAAGATAGCTTATCGGTGAAAGGACAAAGTAAACAGGAGAATGAAGATAGCTTATCGGTGAAAGGACAATGTAAACAGGAGAATGAAGATAGCTTATCGGTGAAAGGACAAAGTAAACAGGAGAATGAAGATAGCTTATCGGTGAAAGGACAATGTAAACAGGAGAATGAAGATAGCTTATCGGTGAAAGGACAAAGTAAACAGGAGAATGAATATAGCTTATCGGTGAAAGGACAATGGAACACTGTGGAGAGTCAGTCAGAAGAACATGACTGGAAACAAAAGAAGATAACATTAAGTGAACAGAATTAGTTCAGACTAAACAGGGAGCTGATATGGTGTAGCAGACTTAAGCTCTCCTATGGATCAGAATTTCATGGGTTCAAACCTATATGGTGCCAGATTTTGTTGCTATTCAAAATGGTCAACTGACCCCCCCCCCCCCCTCCCTCTTTCCAGGACATCACACAAGCGATAAACACTCGGTGAGATAAAGTGCCACCATGCGGATGAGGATCACCTGTGGAGAGGTCACAGAAACCCCTCTCAGCCGTTAGGACATATCTATGGCCAAGCCATATCTATAGTAAAGTAAGTAAAGGTCCCTTTTGCACGTCTTTAGGCGTATAGGGCATATAGGACTAGACCTTTATTTGTATAGACCAATCGGCACAAGACTGGTGATGTGATCATAATCACGCCGGCCGCCTTTACTTCCCAAGACTGCACCCGGTACCCACTCAAGGCTGGGATTACCTGGGATTAAAGGTCATTGTTTTTCAAAAAGTCCGGCTCCGCCAGGGAGCGAACCCACGACCTTCCGATCCGCACGTGAGAGTCTAGTCGCTACGCCACGGCGACTCCTATGCCACATCTATGCCCCGGCTATATTCAGGGTCCCTGGTAGAAGCCAGGGTGGGGCTTTGAAAAACCGAAAATTGCATCCCACATAGGGACAACTTTCATTATAAACTTGGTCAAACTGACTGACTGACTTTCTACCCCACCAGGACATCACACAAGCGATAAACACCCGATGACACAATGTGCCACCATGTGAGTCAAGATCACCGTGGAGAGGTCCCAGAAACCGCGTTCAGCCTAGAGGCCATATTTATGACCAGGCTATATTGCGGCCCCTGGCAAGAGCCAGAGTAGGGCTTCATATAACGAAAAATGTCATCCTGAAAAGGACGAGAAATATAGTAGACTAATATTTGGTCAAATGTCGACTCAGCTTTAAATGGGTACCTGAGAAGTAAAGTCAGCTGGTGTGATGTTAAAGTTAGTTGCGTATCCTTTTCAGGACATCGCAGAACAGACATCAGCATTTGGGGGGGGGGGGGGGGGGGGGGGGGGTTGTTTGCCATTTCTTTCTGGACGATCGGCTTCTCGATACCACTGTCGAAACTGACGCAACGAGCAAGGCGAGGGCGTCTGCAACGCCTAAGCCTCCATCGATCCTGGGATAGAGGACTAGAAACAATAATTCTCCGAAAAATGCACTCTGTTAGGGGGGGGGGGGGGGGGGGGGGTAGGGGAGGTGGAAACTGAAAACAGTAACTTAGCATAGCAAGTTGGAAAACTGCAACAACAACAACAAACAAACACATAAAACATTTTTGATGTATGCGTATGTCTTTTAGGGTAACATGGCCAGTGCTGTCGCCACGCACTGTGCAGGTTAGAATGTTATTTTTGCCTCTCTTGCCCTAAGGTTAGTTGCGTATCCTTTACAGGACGTTGCAGAACCAACCCAAACAGCCTTTGGCTGTTGTGTGGTTTTTCTAGGCAAATTTACGTCCAGTAGTTTGCCATTACTTCTGGACGGTCGGCTTTGTTGATAGAACAGTCGAAACCAACGCAAGGCGCATGGCCCGCAGCTGGGATCGAACCCGGCATCCCGGCATTATGAAGCGTTCGCATCGACTAGCCACAGACCTGACTAAATTAGAGGCAACCTTGGTTTAAATTTAAAAAAAAATCGACAAACATAATATTGACAGCATTTGTTCTTCTGATATGTACATTTATAGAAAATTAACAAATTCTACCGTTGCGAGCCCGACTCGTAATTCCAACATACCGCGATCGAAACCCACTGCTGGTTGCGTGGATTTTTATCATGGTATAGGGCGTCGCAGGTCGACTCAGCCTAAAATGGGTACCAGGATGGGTGTCCTGGGGAAGTAAAGACGGTCGGCGTAATGCTGATCACATTACCCACCTAGCGCTGATGGTCTGTAAAAATATGGGCGCTCTTCCTATATACCCAATACGTCTAAAGGCGGGAAAAAGGATCTTTATTTTACTTTACAAACAACTGCTACGGAGTTTGTGCATTGTGATAAGGTTTGTCACTGTGTGGCCTAACATAAATGCCTGAAGCATTGTCATTAATCTTGATCGTATGTCTTACCGCAAGGAATGGACACGGGGCAGCCGATGTCCATCGACTGCAGTTTGTTGAGGGCAATTTTCTGGAGAATCATCCTCTCAGGCTCACTCAGGTTGAGAATGCTTACCGGCCGCAGCTGCACCTTCCGTCCACTCACGCTTGACCATGCACACGAACCCTGATGAAGAAGAAGAAACTGAATAAATACGTTTACACCGCAAAAAGACTCGTTAGAGGTTACATTTTAAAACAGCTCTGAATCTCTTTTATGTACGGTGAAAAGAGGGGCAAAATGCAATCGCGCGAACATGTAATAAGAAACTAACGGTCTCTGAAAAAAAAAATACAACAGGTTTCGGCAGAGGGGGAAGAGGAGAATGTTGAATGTTGAATTACGAATCGACAGGTGGGACACTCCCATAAGTTCCCATTCCTCATCTACAGCAGTTCCAATTCCGATGGCACCAGTAACCGTCTGATTTTATATCCGTCTTATGCTTCCCCTGAGTGTTGAGCGTCGGCCAGATCTCTTGGTAACTCCTCGCAGCTCCATTTTCCTTAGACCGTAATGATCTGTCTGCACCTCCGCTTTGTTTACATGCTTCAAAAGAGCACTCACAATATCTAACTTGTCATTCATCAATTCACGACCAAGTGGTGCAGAGACAGCCAGTCCTTCTGCCTGCTCATTTCCCAACACACTTGCATGACCTGTAGAAAATATCCAAAGGATGCCAACTACCCGGGACCTCTGAAGTGATGCTTGCCACTCTGAACGAATCATGCCTGTCTTCACCTTTCACAGCATGCTCTGTGCGTCAGTTACAGAGAATACCTTCTATGGGGAAGAGGCAGTAACAAAACAAACAATTACAAGAGATACATAGCATTACTGATTAGACAGGTCCTAGGCAAGGCCTTCTTTATCCTACAGAAGGTCTTGCCTTAGGTTTGCATCGCATCTGTCCGTCCAAGTTGAAGGGAGCTGATGAGACATTCAACGGCAACTGATGACCCAAGGACACGAGTCTTACGACAACGATGATGATGAATCTTTAAAGGGTGTTTAAATGCCAAAAGTATCCCTATAGGTTCAGGCGCTCCATTCTGGAGAACAAAGGACGTCTGTACTGTCCCTCAACAAGCATGTCGTAGGAGGCGATTAATTAGGGGTGTTTCTTTTAAAATCGCAGCGCATATGCCTTAGAGGAGCAGTAAGTGTATTCTTTTAATATGGAACCCTGGAACCCACACCAGGAAAATGCTTGATAACTTCATTCCTTGTTTGGTATTTATGAACAATAGTAGATCACACATGGCGCTTTGTGTAACAACTAGCCCCACTCTCCCCCTTTTGGACACTTCATTCCTTGTTTGGTATTTATGAACAATAGTAGATCACACATGGCGCTTTGTATAACAACTAGCTCCACTCTCCCCCTTTTGGACACTGGTGCGTTTGTTGGCGTTAACTCCTCCCATCATCCAGGTATACCGACCCAGATTTCACTACCCGTCCGCGCGGTGGCTAAATATAGGTTAGTACCTGTCCTGCTCATCCTCTCGAACGAAGTTGCTTGCAAGTGACACTGAGGAGTATTCTTTATTTAGTACATTATAGTCATATTTAGTCACTTCATAGTTAGTGCATATTTGTATGTGTGCTTTAAGTGCTGATGAAGGCTAATCGCTGCAACGTCCTTTGTTTGTTCATTGTAATCGATTTTGTAAAGCTGACATAAACTATTTGTTCTTTCTTACCCTTTATCTTCTCTTACCTATAATTTCCCACCCTTTTATAAACTTTGGTTAACAACACATTGTCCGTGCTTTATTTACATTCAAAACGGCTTTCACTGACACCAAAGTTTCAGAAAGCTGGATTAGATGTCATATAACAAGGACAACACAAGTGCAAACAAGACAAAAAAGAAATGGCAATAATTAAAGTCATTTAAGAGACATTAGGTTATCCTGGATTTCATTCTAGGGTTTCAGGGCATGTGTTTCCGTTGAGCTGCCTATTGTTCTTCTCCTAATACATTATTCATGACTTTCTAAGTTTGGTTGTTGCAACTGTCTTTATTTACAATCATAAACGGTTTTAGTTGGCAGTGTGGGATTGTGGCAGAGCGAGATATTGAAAAATAGGGAAGGATTTGAAGGTAATAATTTTGGCAGAGCGAGAGATGTGAAAAAGTAGGGTGATTGAAAGACAATTGAGGCAGAGCGAGAGATGCGGAAAGGTAGTGAGATTGAAAGACAATTGAGGCAGAGCGAGAGGTGCGGAAAGGTAGTGAGATTGAAAGACAATTGAGGCAGAGCGAGAGGTGCGGAAAGGTAGTGAGATTGAAAGACAATTGAGGCAGAGCGAGAGGTGCGGAAAGGTAGTGAGATTGAAAGACACTTGAGGCAGAGCGAGAGATGCGGAAAGGTAGTGAGATTGAAAGACACTTGAGGTAGAGCGAGAGATGCGGAAAAGTAGTGAGATTGAAAGACACTTGAGGTAGAGCGAGAGATGCGGAAAAGTAGTGAGATTGAAAGACACATGAGGCAGAGCGAGAGATGCAGAAAAGTAGTGAGATTGAAAGACACTTGAGGCAGAGCGAGAGCAACCGAAAAATAGGCGAGGATTCGAAGGTAATAATTTTGACAGAGTGAGAGAAGCGGACCAGTGGGTAGTATATGGAGAGAGAAAGAGAGAGAGAGAAAGAAAGTGAGAGAGAGAGAGTGAGAGAGAAGTAAGGAAGCCCCAGAAAGAAATTAATTTTTTAGCTCACATGTAAACTGTTCATGTTTTTATATAAACTGTCTTTATATTTGTGTTCTGAGGCCCCATGTTAACGAAATAAATAGATCCATGCAACTACAGATAAGAATGGCGAAAAGGGTGAGTACTCAGAGGTTAGCTGAAAGCGTACCTGTTGGATCAAAAGGTGCAGATATCGCAGCTTAGCTGTAAACATCAACCTCCCAACCGCCGTTTTAAGGGCGTGCCCCCCCCCCCCCCCCGAAAAACCCACCCATAATTTTCAGTTGCTATTTTAAATTCATTTGTATTTGTTGAATTTAAACAATTTTTAAAAATGTAGAAACTCAATTATGTCACAGCAACGATTATAAAGTTAAGAGATCTGGATGAGTTAACCATACGCCCTTAACGGAACAACAACCTAGACCTGATCCAAGACTACAGAAGATCGTGCGATAAGGCGAACTACAGCCGCCAACGCTTATGTCAGCACGGCAAATGATAGTGTTGTCATTGACACGGTAAAACCAGATTCCGTACCCACGTACGTACGTGAGCGGCGTGTTCGTTTGCTTCGCGTCTGCCGTAAATAAATGAACCATCAAGGTTTCGTTTTACCTTGTAGCTCAAAGGTAGAAAAGTATCTACAAAAACAAATACCGGATGTAAAATAATTGTGCAAGTAAGCGTATAGTAATCAATCGACACTAACGAAGAAGATCAGTTTGTATTTAACAGTAAAAGCAAGTACAATAAAAAACAAGTACAGTAAACATTTGACAGTGACCCCCCCCCCCTTTTTTTTTCTCCGTCACCTCCCCTTTTCCAGTTATATATATATATATATATATATATATATATATATATATATATATATATATATATATATATAAAGTCAAAATTCTAGTTGAGTTGAGTTGAGTCAAGAATTGACATCACAGCTCTCGGGGCATTCCCATGCGTGCTCCGTCCTCCTCTTTAGCAGTCAGCGCAGAGTTCCAGTACTAATGGTAGTGAGCCAGCCAGACCCTCTGGTTACACCCAGGTGCCTCATTCTCTCCAGGCCATAATAATCCTCATCTCTACTGATTCCGCTGCTGGTTCCCAAAGGAAAATTCAACAGTAATCTACAATTACCAAAACGAAAAGTAAAGGACCAGTTTCCGCGCCTTCTGATGTATTGGGCATATAGGGCTAGACCTGTATTTTATAGACCAATCAACACTCAGTGAGTGGTGTGATCAGCACCACGCCAGTTGCCTTTACTTCTCAAGACTTGGTACCCATTCGGGGCTAGGTCGACCTGGGAGCCAAAAAAAAAAAAAAAATAGGACCCGACCCGCCATATTTTGATCCGAAGGCGAGCGTCTAGCCACCACACCACGGCGGCTGCCAACCAGAAAGCAAGATTAAAAAAAAAAAAAGGTAAAGAATCCATTTAACGCCAGTTAAGCATGTCGGCAGGCTTGGTTAGAGAGGGTCTCTTAGCACCCTTACACAAATTATGCAACACCCCCACCCCTTTTTTGGGCCTAATATTCTCATGTGCCCTGGAGGGGGTTTTCAAGAGACCTGAACACTTAGGTACCTGCGCCTACGTCATGGAGGGGATACGCTTAGTGGGGATGGGGGGGGGGAAGAAACACACACATACACACATACATACTCATACACAAACACACATCCGGACTCTCTCTCTCTCTCTCTCTCTCTCTCTCTCTCTCTCTCTCTCTCTCTCTCTCTCATAGGGAAGGCAACAATTGGCAGTCTCTCAAGAAAAACACTACTTGTTTGTCTCCCCTGACATCATCCTGTTGTGTTGCTCAAGGTCGGACACACGATACTCGTCCTTTCCTCCCCCGGGCTTGCCTGAAGGTACAGATAGTCCACACAATGCCTATCTGTAAACATGCTGCTATAGAGATTATCAAGCTTTTCTTATCCGGACTATCTGCACACAACCTCGCACAAGCTTCGTCCTCCCGATGCCATCCAGTTGTTCGTCTGGTTTGAGGATGCACAAAAGATCAGGTGGGATTTCTTGGAAACTAGAACAGTCAAACACATGAAATTAATACAGTATCGTTATCTGTCCGAGACTGCAGGCAGAACCAAATCAAGATTGGTGCTTTATTAATATCCTACCCCAGATGACGTAACAGGACAGTCCAACATTTTATAGGGTATTAGGACTCGATTTCCCGGCTTTCTGGTGCTTTTAACGACCCCAAAAACATCTAGAACTTGTCCCAACCTCAACGCACCATCGTCCCACGACAGCGTGCAGCCTGGGTCCCATACTGCATGCAGCCTATCTACCACCCCCGAAATATTACACTGTCCAGTGACCTGTGAATTCCCCCTGTTTGGGGTAGGATATTAATAAAGCACCAGACCTTTTGATGCTGTAAGCATTTTCACAATTC